CCCCCCCCCAAATCAGTAAAAATATATCTAAAAAAATAAAAAGTAGCCTGGCCGGTGTGGCTCAGTGGCTGAGCACCGACTCATGAACCTGGAGGTCTCAGTTCAATTCCTGGTTGGGGCATGTGCCCAGGTTGCGGGCCCCATCCCTGGGGGGGGAGGTGTCCATGCAGGAGGCAGCTGAACCATGTCCTGCTCTTACATCGATGTTTCTCTCTCCCTCTCTCTGAAATCAATAAAATTAAAAATAAAAAATAGCCCGGCCAGGCGTGGCTCAGCGGTTGAGTGTCGACCTAGGATCCAGGCAATCAGGGTTCGATTCCCGGTCAGGGCACATGCCCGGGATGCGGGCTCGATCAATGACTCTCTCATCATTGATGTTTCTATATCTCTCTCTCCCTCTCCCTTCCTCTCTCTGAAATCAATAAAGATATATTTAAAAATAATAAAATAAAAAAAATAAAAATAATAAAAAATAGCCCTAGCCAGTTTGGCTCAGAGCTTTGGCCCATGGACTAAAGGGTCCTAGGTTCAATTCCAGCCAAGGGAATGTACCTCGGTTGCAGGTTCGATCCCTGGCCCTGGTTGGGGCATGTCCAGGAGGCAACCAATCAATGTGTCTCTCTTACATCGATCTTTCTCTCTCTGAGAAAAGCAATGGAAAAAATGTCCTTGGGAGAGGATTTTAACAAGTAAAATTTTGTTTCAACCATTAGAAGAAAAAAAAAGAACTCAGAAACCAGTATGGTGGTAGACCTACTTGAGTTTGGCAACAAAATAAGGCAGGAAATAAATTTTCAACCTTTGAGCCAATGGCTATGTCCATTATGGTCTCCAGACTTGGTTAAACTTTAGAATGACCCTTTTGGAAACGGGCTAAAGTTACAGGGAAAAATTGCCCTAGCCGGTCTGGCTTTGGGTTAGAGCGCTGTCCTTAGAACTGAAGGATCCCAAGTTCAACCCCAGGTGTGTGTGGGAGGCAACCAATTGATGTGTCTCTCTCCCTTCCACTCTCTCTGAAAAGCAATGGAAAAAAATCCTCGGGTGAGATTAAAAAATATATATATAGGAAAAAATGAGATTAAAATAATAAAGAACCTATGTGGACAATTAAAGAGGCTGCCTAAATAGCTAAGGAAAAGGTATCTAAATTTTCTTCATTCATCTGTGAGAAATGCCTTTATATATAATCTTGAACAGAGAAGTAGTAATGAACTAGGTAAGCCTGGAAGAATTTATACACAGCCCTCTTCCTTAATGGCTTCTTTTAAGAATGGCTTTAGTAAATATAGCTCACACAAAACCAAAATAAGTCAAGGTTGTCCCCAATTTATAACCCCTTCAGACTATATTTCAAAGCTCATTTACAAAACAACTGCATTTAATGACAAGTTCTGCATCCAATATCATAAATGGCAATTAATGACCCCGTGTGGCAACCAGTAACAAGAGATAACTAGTTCTCTTATACCATAATCAAACAGTCCTGATAACTGTAGGCACTGCAAAATGAAGGAATCTCTCCAGATTAATTACTCTTTAAGTACAGAAATGAGACCATTTTCTGACTTTGTATGCTAAACAATTCTAGTTACATTTCTTTCTCTCTCTTAAATTATAGGAATCTTTTAATTCCTATTACAATGTTTCTATGATTAGGTTAGATAGCCTCCTCCCACCCTCCCCAGAAGGCAGGAGTCAAATGCAAAGACATCTAGTAACAAGTTACCTATCTGTGGTCTCCAGAAGCTTCTGAACTATGAGTTCAAAAGAAGACGACAAGCAATACGTAGCTGGTTCTTCCTGATCATCAGCTACGTCTGCAGCTTCATAAGCAGCTTCAGCCAGACTAGAGAAAGCCTTAAAAACCAGAAAGAGTTAATACTAGCCCTGAAGAGAACCCCACCCCAGGATTACCTCATTTTTCCTTAAGATACCTTGGGCAGTGCTCCTCTCCCACTGATCTAATAAATCAATGCTAGTGAATCTTCAACTTTTTCTGTCAATGTCATCTCAAAACATTTTATAGGGATCCTTAAAATTAAATGTTTGTTTGTCCTGCCCAAAACTCTCTAAGCAGCAGAGCACTTTCACCTACCACAAATGCCTGCCACTTCTACTTCTAATCACAGAAAAGCTTTTAGCCCCCACTCTTTTCCTCATTTGAACTTCCTCCCCCACACCCCCAGATGTCCCTAGTGACTGAACTACATTCAGCCTATACTGACTCAGCACTTAGACCGCCTACCTTCCTTTCCTCTTGCCCCCTTCTCAGCAATTGTACTTTTTGTAGCCAGCAACTCTCTAATCAAAATTTCTTGTCCCCAAGCAACTGAAGGAAAAAAAAAAATGAGTCCAGATAGTTTTCCCACTGGGTTAGCATGACTGTTCTAAATGGTTCAGGAACCAGTCACCATGAGTCAACAGCTCCTACTGGCTCATGCAATTAACATCTCCCCCACATTTTAATTGAAGAAATTAGAAAGGAGATGCTATTCAGAAAAAGCCTTCCACTGAGGCAGACCCATTTCTCTCCCATACCTCATACTTCCTTGCCAATGGTTCCTCCAAGATCCTTATCTCACCAAGAAAAGAAAAAAAATCCCTTACCCAGCACACATTTGAAGCCACTCTGGGTTCAGCACTGAGGCCCTCGATCAGACACTGCAGCAGGGGAGTCAGGTAGACATCATTGATGGCAGCTTCAGGGAGCAGTTCACAAATTCTGCCCACAGTCCATGCAGTTGTATCTCTAACAACTACACTGGGGTCTTTCATTAATTCTATTAGGGTAGGCATAGCCTGAAAATACAATAGTTATTAGCAAGGCAAAACAAAGATTAAAACTCATGCTGACTAATATCTCAGGAAATTCTGATGGTTAAGTTTTAACTCAAAATATCAACACAGTTTTGTCATTTTAAAGACATACTTGTCTAAGACCCAGTAACATAATAAAAGTAAAAAGAAAAGTGAAAAATTCCCTCTCTCTTCACCAAATCCCAGTATACAGTTTTATTAAGGGTTTGGTATGAAATTTTTAGCAAGCAGACCTTACTAAATTACTTGGGTCGAGATTCCAGGAAGTAGCTGTGATGGCACCTGGCTACACACTGAAAGGTTCTGTTCTGTATGTACTAACCTAAGATTTCAGTCAATTTTAATAGTGTAATAAGTATGATATTTCCATAAAAGTTCTTATTACATAAATGGCATTTTGTCCTAAGGACAGAATAATCACATCATTAAAAATTATAAAGAATGTTTATAATATAGCATTAAGAGAAAAAACAAGTTATAAGACTATTTGCACAGTAAGATCGCCATTCTGTTGCACATATATGCATACTGGAAAAGGCTGCAAGGATAAATACCAAAGTTTGAATGTTATCCCTAGGCAATGGGATTATAGGTGACTTGTTCATTTTGGCCTTTTTTGCATTATCCAAAAGTCATATCTTTTGTAACTAAAAAGAAAAAAAAGTTAAATACGTTTTACTCTTTATTGTCAGCAAATAGCTATCTAGAAATAATCTTTGTGGATGACTACTGACGGCTTTTAAAATAAGGGCACACTTTCAAGCAAAAAGTTTAAATAAACAAGCAATATCTCACTTCCCATCCCAAAACTTCCTCAGCTTCACCTGTATAACTAGTGGTTTGAGCTGATTGGGCTCTGGTCCTTCCAAAATACAGCCGAAAGCCATCACAGCTGCATCCCGGTACCGCCAATCAGGGTTCTTGATGTGTTCTTTAATGAAGGGTAGGACATGGGGGACAATGTCATCTTCACAGCAGGTGGCCAGAAGCATGAGGCACACCCCGGCCGCTTTGCAGGGGTTCCAATCATCATCATCATCATTTTCATCCTGAAGAAAGAGTGTAACACTACTTAGGTTTGTTTAAAAGTCACTTTAACTCACAAGGTACTCCAACTATTCCCAAGTGTCATTAGAACTTAAGCTTTAGGGATGGAAATAAAACACAAAACCTTTGTATTTTATTCTCGTCCACAAAGATTCATCACAGCACAGACTCTGTTAAACAAGATCCAGATGGAGGGAAGAGCCACTCAAGTACCACACAACGAATGAGATGAACAAACTTCAACTACATGAACCAAGAAGGACGATCTCAGACTTGGAGAGCAAAAGGCAAAACAAAAGTGTGTATGCTGTATGATTCTAGTTACGTAAATTCAAAAACCAATCAAAATTAATCTATGAAGTTAATGCCTAGAAAGAACACATGAGGAGGTCTTCTGGTATGCTAGTAATTGTCATATTTCAATAAAAAGTTAAACAAAAAAAGATTCCATTCAGAGCTCCTGTGAAATCAGAATTTAAGTTTTATCTTTTCTTATTGTTGCCATTCACATACATAGTAGTTTAAGGCAGGATGCCTATGCAGTTTTAGGTAATTACCTACCTAAAGAATGATTTTTTTTTTCATAACAAGAAAAGCACAACCAAAATACACAAAAGCAAAGACACTAAGGTCAAAAGATAAAAAATAGCAACTATAAAACTGAAAGATGAGCCCAGCCGGGCGTGGCTCAGCGGCTGAGCGTCGACCTAGGATCCAAGCGATCAGGGTTCGATTCCTGGTCAGGGCACATGCCCGGGTTGAGGGCTTCATCTCCAATGACTCTCTCATCATTGATGTTTCTATCTCTCCCCCCTCTCCCTTCCTCTTTCTGAAATCAATAAAGATATAGTAAAAAAAACAAAAACTGAAAGATGAGATGAAATTTTAAGGGAACACCCAGTCCATTTCAAACCACACACATGCCACTTATCTTCTGAGATTGAAAGACATGTACCTCCTTTAAACAAATTACATTCTTGCGTACAATGACACTTTGCTGGAAGTTATAGCACTGCTGCCTCAGAGCACTGCCAACTCTTTGGTAACATTTTGCATGCACCAGAAGAAATGAGGCAATAGAAACAATTTTTCTAAACACCTCACCAAGGAAAACTACAAGGCAAAAATTCAAAAGGGAATGACTGCAACCAAGATCCACTTCATATAAAATAATTTCTGTATTTACTCATTAGATCCAAGTCCTTTTAAAAAATGTTTTTATTGATCTGATAGAGAGGAAGGGAGAGGGAGAGATAGAAATATCAACAATGCTAGAGAATCACCAATCAGCTACCTCCTGCACATCCCCTACTAGGGGATCGAGCCCACAACCTGGACATGTGCCCTGACCAGGAATTGAACTGTGACAGCCTGGTTCATGGGCCAACGCTCAACCACTGAGGCACACAGGCCCGGCTAGATCGAATAACTCTTGCCTGCTGGTGTTGCTCAGTGGTTCAGTGTTGACCCACGAACCTGGTTCAATTCCCAGTCAGGATACATGCTTGAGTTTCAGGCTCCATCCCCAGCAGGAGATATGCGGAAGGCAGCCAACTGATGATTCTCTCTCATCACTGACGTTTCTATCTCTCTCTCCCTTCCTTGCTCTGAAATCAATAAAAACATATTAAAAAATAAAAAGTACTTTATAGCACTCAGAGCAGTACAGTATGTGGTTCATTCCTGATCAACTGAAAAGTTCTCCTTTACAAACAACTCAGAGCCTAGAGGATCTTACAGATCTAGCGCAGTGGTTCCTGAGTCATCTATCAGAATATCTAGCTGAGTTCCTTCATGGAAACTGTTTCAGAGCAAACCAACCCATAACAAGGTTTCATAGCTTACCTGGATAGAACTGGACGAGAACTCACCTGTTTAGTTAGTGTCTGTGTGAGGATTGGAACCAGGTACTGTAGTGCTCCCTTGGCATAAAACTTGCTGGTGTGCTCAGGGGGCCGTCCTTGTTCTGCTGCCTGAGGACAAACATAAAGCAAATTCTGGACTGCAACAAACAAGCTATGATACTAAGGCATACAGTGAGAGCTGCCCAGGGGTCTGTATAGAAATATGTGGAACAAACGGAAGCATTTGCTGTGATCTTTGAAGGCATTTATTTTTTGGTCTACTTCAGTGAGATTATTTAAGGCCTTAAAGGACCAGAGCAACCTTAAGAATTACATTCTTTCTTCACAAGCTCAATTCATATTAATGCAATGTCATCTATGTGACCTTAAAAATGCCAAAAATAAAATTTTGTTTTTTGAAGTACATAAAGAAAATCAAGATAGGAAACAGAGCTTGAATTCAAAGATTGCAAGTGCAGAACAAACACCTTTTTCTATACCGAATTCCTTCACTGATCGATTTCTACATCCCATACTTGCATTAGAACTTCCAAAAGGAAATACTATACAGATATCACTTTGTTGAACTGTAATTGCCTGCTGCCCCCTAGTGTTCACAGTACTAATTAAAGTACTTAAAATAAATCATCCCTGACTGGGAGAAACATGAGATGCCACATTATTGATCCATCTCCCTAATAAGGGGCTTTGGCTAGCAGAAAAATCAAAAGTTGTACAAATGGAAATACCCTCTAAGTCCAGTTAGAATAAAGCTTTCCCAGAGGCAAACAATCATATCCACAAGGGAGATATGTCCCAAAACCCAGTCAGAGTAACAGCTCTCCCCCCACAAACCGACTCTCTCCCAGGCTCACCTCTGAAGCCTCAATGGCCAAATCCATTTCCTCATCACAGACATTGGACCAGAACTCTATCCCTTGTAGGGCCACTTCATCAATGTCACTTTTCATTGCTTCAATTGTGATCTTAAGAGAAAAAACATGACAACCCAGGCCCCAAGTAAGTGCTGGTTCAAGTTAGACCCCTTCTCTAACCATAGACATTGAGGTTTCAAAAATGTAGATTTATAAAAGCTAGGTCTGAAATAAAAGGTAGAAAACACTCTTTTTATCATCAGAGATAACACAAGCTTTCTTGGCACACTACCAGTGAACTAAAACATAACATTGCGATTCAAGAAGTTTCCTTGATTTCATAATTGAAAGTAAAAAATTACAGAATTGACAAAAACAGCAACTAAGCACGATGGGCTTTGCAATTAACGACACGCTCAAACACATGAACTAGAAATACTTACTGCAAAAAGAGCGGGACCCATGTATGTCTCCATGTACTGATAATACAAGGACATTATTTTCACCAGATTCTGTAAGGCAGCCACTCGTACCTTTCACAAAGAGCATATTAAATGGTTTACCATTCAGTTTAGTAGCAAGACAATCTGACAAAAGTAACTACTTCAAATGGGTCAATAACCTAAAGGGTCAAGCTAGGTACATTTGGGTTATCATTCCCCCATGGAAGTGCCACTCAGACTAAATGTTACTTCCACCTGCTTCAAGGGTCAAGGTTTAGGTTACAGCAATAGCAAAGCTGCTTCAACGGCTACACTGGAAAACAATCCATTGAATAAACTATGGCAATTAAATAGTAAGGTGGATCAAAAACCATTTCTCCCTTAAACCCTTTTCAAGATGTCAACTTCTATTATGTTAACTTTCCAAGTCCTGTTCTTCCCGCTTCTCCAACATTGGAGAAAATTTCTTATTGATCAAACCTTATTTCTGAAGTCACCTGACTCCCAATATTTCAAGCTACAATGCTCAAGTTGGCATTTTCTAAGAAAGATGAAGAAAGACAGATTACTTACCCTAGTATCTGGACATTGTGTGGCTTCACAGACCACCTGCATAATAAAGTGCCTTTCGGACTGCAGAAATAAAAGACAATTAGAAGAGTATAAACCAGATATATGAAGATTGCTAGACTATCTCTTCAAGAAAAAAATCTTACTCCCTCAGGAACCCACACAATCCTGGACCAATCAAGCAGCTTTACCTTGCCCGGCCAGGCGTGGCTCAGCAGTTGAGCATTGACCTAGGATCCAGGAGATCATGGTTTGATTCCCAGTCAGGGCACATGCCCACAGGTTGTGGACTTGATCCCCAATAGGGGATGTGCAGGAGGCAGCCGATCGATGACTCTCATCATTGATGTTTCTCTCTCTCTCTCCCTCTCAAATCAATATAGATATATTTAAAAACAAAACAAAAAACAGCTTTACCTTGACACAGTAATGGCACTATGAATGCTACAAAGTTTGCCCCCAATGTCTACTATGACCTGCCCTCAAAGGAGGTCCCTAATTTTTAATCCTCAAAATGACCTTCACTAACAAGACTTCAGGAAGAAGATAGAAAAATGTAGGTCACAGATTTTAAATAAGCATGGCTAGTTAAAAACAAAAAAAACCCACCTATAGAAGGAAAATCTGTTTCTTTGTATTTAAAAATTAAGAGAATTAAAAACATCTGCTTTGTTTCAGAGACAAAACCGGTTTTCTGGGAGGTGGCAAATCCACATCAAACGTGACAAGATATAGGAGAACAGAATAATGAACTTTATTTGCTATCGTCCTAAATCTTCTGAAATCTAAAAGGAAAACCCTTATTTTCTAAGCAATTAGAATTTCAGTTTGCCTTGGCCTTCTTTTGACCTCCCCACTTTGTCCACTGTAAGGCCAAGAAATGGTAAAAAGCCCAGCTAAAGTGTCAACATATATACAAAAATACTTTCAGACCATATGATCCAGCAATTCCACTTCTGGGTATATATCCAAAAGAACTGAAAACAGGGTCTCAAAGATACATACACCCATGTTCATAGCAGCATTATTCTCAACAGATAGAAGGTGAAAGAAAGCACCTCAAATGCCTATTGACAAATGGATAAACAAAATGTGGTATATACATATAATGGAATATTAATCAGTCTTAAAAAGGAAATAGACACACTACAACATGCACAAAACCAAGACATTATACTAAGTGAAATAAGCCAGTCACAAAAAGGCAAATCAAATACTGTATACTCTACTTATATAAGCTAAAGTAATCACAGAAACAGAAAGTCAAGTAATCAGAAACAGAAAGTAGGAAAGTTGTTGCCAGGAATGGGGGAAGGGGAAAATGGGGAGTTTAATGGAAATAATTTCAGTTTTGCAAGATGAAAAAGTTCTGGAGATTGGGTGCAATACAATGTGAATATACTTAACACTACCAAACTGTACACTTAAAAGTAGTTAAGGCGATAAATTTTGTTATTGTCCATTTTAACACAATTAAAAATAAGTAAATGAGAAAATACTTTCAGGCAAAATAAACTGTTTATATATTTTCAAAAGCACAGCCCAATTTCTTTTTTTTTTTTAATCCTCATCCAAGAATGTTTTTTAAAAATTGATTTTAGAGAGAAGAAGGGAGAAATGGGGGGGGGGAGAAACTTCAATGTGAGAGAAACGTTGATTGGTTTCCACCTGTACATGCCCCAACCAACTAGCCCAATTTCTGTAATTAAGGGGAAAAAGTCCCAAAGCACACTTTGGACTGCAAAAGAAAAAACCTAAGCTTAGAAACCCTTTAGGTCACATTATTCCCAAAACCCTGATAAATGGCAAACACCCATTCCATGGCCACATCTCACACAAGTGTTAACTAGAATAGAAATGAATGCTTCTAAACAAAATAGTCCTTTCTAAATCATAAACTTAAAAAGCCCCCAAAACTTTCATTTAACTCTCACCTCTCAGCCTCTGAACCTACACCTTTTTGTCAAAAGGAACTTACCTCTTTGTCAAAGTTTGCTTTGGTGAACTCCAATGAGTTCAGGAGTGCATTAGTAGCTGCTAGCTTCACATTATTACTAGGCTCTTCTTTCCTCATCCCCTGGATTATGGCAGTCAGGATCTCATTGGATTTATCTTGTAGCTGCTCTGGGTCCTGAAACGAAAAGTGCAGTGAATATAATAATGAACTCATGACTAATCAGCAGTTCTTTTAAGTGTAAAATCCACTTGAGGATTATAACTTTCTCTGATCTTTCACCACACATTTCCAATTAGGGACAAAATATCCCAGGGACTGGTAGTCCTAAATTGATCCAAAACAAATTAAACTCATCAACTTCATCTCTGACTTCTTAGCATGATTTTAGGCATGAGGTAATACCACTTTCCCATTTTGTGCAAACGGAAATGACAATGTGGGTTTTTTTTGCCCCCAGACCACCTATACCCACTGAAGTATAGCTTCAGAACATCTGAGGGAAAAGGATCAACACCTAGGCACACATCTAGAGAATCTATATCCATCCATGTCAAGTGCTATGGACTTCCTTGCTTCAAACAGACACCCCCCCCCCC